TGAAATGTCACCTGTACCTTTACTTACCATTGATGAAGGTCAGAAAGTTATGAATGGACAAAACGAAAGGTCACTGGCCTCTCTTTGTTCTTGACTTTCACCGCTTGCGCACTTGTATGAGTCTCGAAATTCTCTAGATTGGCAACTATAATCTTAAAGAACGAAAGATTCATGAAGGTACCGAAACGTGGTACTGTGACTGATGACAATGTTCATGTATTGTAATAAGGGAAATAACAACCAGAGTGCCATGGGAAATATTTAATACAGACCACAAACAAATTCATTAACTCTGTATTAACCACAGTAGTATAAGTACGTATATGATAATTTTCCATTTCAGTTTCCTCTGCGAGCACCAGCAAGACGATAGAACTGACAGTATAGACATTTCCAAGCGTTCGGGTAGAACAATAATCCGTATTCACCAGGTTATGTACGTTCAAGATCCATCTACCCATGATATGATGACAAGGCCTTCTCCGCCCTTCCAAATCACACAATACAACTTGGCGAAATAATATGATAACCCTTTCAGAACGTTAACATAGTTATATACACAATTCCCTCATGGCTCTCGGCTTATAAATTGCAACGTTTCGACGCCGATACTCTCGTCGTAATCAAGCAAGAATAATCATCGAAACGTTGTAAGCTTTGTATTTAAGTAGCCTAATTGTTATCCATATAACTATTATTTATCGAGTTATTTGACCACAATTTTGACTGAAAATTGACCCTTGTAAATATCATAAGATAAAAACAAAAGTACAAAGCATTTAACAGCAAAGTTAATCTAAAATAGTAATGATAAACTCTTTATTTTTCATGGTCCAGAATTAGGTTCACTAACAGACAGGGACATGATACTGTCTAACATTCAGAACATGGGAAAAACCTTTAGAAACGTCACTAATCCCGAAGGGCCTTATGACTGTGATACAGCATGTACCTATAATACGACTAGTGACGTCATAAAACTACTGTAATTGCAGGAACTGAATTATGCATATTGATGCTATCAGTGTCCCCGATACACATATAATTTTTAGAAAACTTCTTTACAATCCCTTTAAGACTATATATTTTATTTACCGACCAAAGAACGGAGACAGTGGCCTAGATATTCACATACCAAATACATATATCATCTGTATTTGTTTATTAGGTAACCATGGAAACACATGTTGATGATAAATGAATTAATTAAAAATTGTCATGTAATGGATACGTCTGACATCTATCTTGAGAGATATACATTGAGTCGACATGTTGTGTCAATTTCATTACATTATCTGTAGAAAGCGATATTAATTTCCAATGGCCGATGGCATGATCAGCTTTTACTGTAGTCTCTTAAAACAGGCCAAGTTTAGCTCTTCTTGATGTAGTACCTGAAGTTGATAAGCTTATTGTCGCGTTACGCTGGAGAGGCACGATAAGCTCATACTTTCGGAGCGCTCGATGCCAGTGGCTCAACTTCCATAAGGGCTGGTTGAACCAGGTCCACGGGCCCCCAGCTCAAGTAAAAAAAACCACAGCATTAAAAAAAATATACCAAACTAAGTATTTAAAAATAAAATGATTAAAATGCAAAATATTAACATACAGAGAGATTTCAGTCGCAAGACAGCGTATGTTAACAAACATTTATTATGAGGTTATATAACCAGTAAATTCTCTATGGTACTTAGAAGGCAGGGTATGCTTTTTCTTCTGGACACCTGATTCTCATTTATGATTGATATACTTCCTCGCATGAATAGTTCATTAGCTGCTACCAATGTATTGCCAATATGTTTTTGGATTTCGTTTTGCAGTTAGGATCGTTAGTAGGCTACTTGGGGGTTTTATTAGTCTTTTGAAAATGAGTTGAAAGTGTAACACATGGCCAATGTTTGGCCGGATTATCAAGACTATACATTCATATGAATAGAAAGATTATTGCAGATTTTTAATGGAATAACTGAAGGATAACTTGTCATTAGTCTCTCAACACTCTATATTAATATCTTGATCAAATATCCCACAGGCATTCGTTCTATTTTACTTCAGCAAACCTATTCATATAGATATTACTTCCGTGTCCTTTTAATATTGCATAATAGAACATACGTATTGGTCTTCTGCACTGGAAAGAACAAAGGCCCATATTTTCAATGATAACAGCTTCTAGCATCCGTGCCCTTAAAAGATTGTATACAGTACATACACACTACTGTAATGCATTTTACACGGGTAAAGACTTACAGAAAAGTAACATTCATATTACGAGGGATGACAACTTAGGTTCTCGAGGAATTTAATCAAAAATAAAATATCCATTGTAATCTGACACGTTTTATGCCACAGTCGCGTTCGAATGACGTTATTTTTAACCAATCAAAGTGTGTTATGTAAAACTTCGTACTTTGCCATATCTCTCAGCAACGGACTTTCTATGACTTATCTATACTCACTTACGACTTACGTCTGGGTCGACTTGAATCTAAGGTCACCA